CAGCAGCCCCTTTTTTTGGGGGGGGGGGGGGGGGGGTGGATAGGATCCATTAACAATAATTATCCCATAATTTGAGTGTATGATTCATGCAATCCCATTAAAAAGGACATGAGATATTCCATTTAATGATGCTCATTCAGTTTCTTACTTTCTCCATAGATACATTTTCCACACGAACAAGAAGGTTTGTAATTACTAAGTGCATCCCAAATTGTCTTCAATTTGGTTAAATAGGTGCTGATAGATGAATCTCCTTGAGTATGATTCATTAGCTTTCATTTCAACTGATAGAAACGTGGACTATTTCTTTGTTGATACCGTTCTTTTAGATCCATCCATATTTCATAAGCGGATTCAGAATATAGCATACTGGCCGAAATCTCCTTGGACACCAAATTCAAAATCCATGAAGTAATAATATTATTATTACGTATCCATGAATTGAGCAGTTCTTAATTACCTTTAGGTTGTGAAATTGTTCCGTTAATGAATCCAAACTTATTCTTCATGGATAATGCAATCATCATAGACATACTCCAAGACATGTAGTTACCTCTAGTCAGTGATTGCGAAACAAGGATAAGGCTAGGACTGTCTGAATGATGAAGAAAATATGGGTTGGATCGATCATCGTTTGCTGAATTGCTCACTGATGATGAAGAATTATTTGGATCATGATTTTCCATCTTCAGAAGAATACAAATACAGATCGAATTTTGACGAATCTGATCGGAATTAGTGTTGGTCAATAGCTATCTTGCTCTGATACCATATTAGAGAGGAGAGAATTTGGGAGTGAAAGAAATATTCTCATTTCAATCAATCAACCATGCAGTATTGTCTTTAAATAGAATGAGCTCATTGAATCTAACTAACTAATATCAACAGTTGTACACAGCTAACTTCTAACTAAACTTGGCACCTAAATGATCTTGAAGTTGAGTTGGAATTTGAGCTAAACTTGAGCTGGAAGGCTTGAACGAGATGTTGGTGTGCAGCAGATATTCTAACATTTAATTCGAATCTACCCTTGAATGTTAGATACCTACTACACGCTTCTCACCAGTTTTTATCCAAAATAATATCTTTTCTCCTTTCTCTGGACAAGAACTCAAGGCTTTCGTACACTTGGAGTTTATCAATCTCTGAAGAAGCTACTGAATCAAGAAGATGTTGCAAGGTTTAAAATCAATCTTTTTTGTACCCTTAACTGTTTAAATTTTCAAGAATATTAATGAAGAATATTCTTGATATGTTCCATATGCGGCGTTACATTTTATGACTTATGAGTAGTACCGGTCGTGGATTTTAGATGATTGCTCTGCTTTAGGAATAGGACGTGTTACAAATCTTTTAGCTAGTTCAGCGGCTGAAGAAACTACTGTTCTATGTACTTATCCCTTGGATTTGGCCCACACCAAGTGCTAGGTTTTATACGTTAGTTTGCTCGTTCTTCTGAGAAAGCTTACATCCATGAAAAATCTCCTTTAATTGATTGGACCCTAAATCTTCATGAGCAATGTATTCGAGTGGGCACAATGCCCTACACCATCAGACATAAAGGCCGAGCAAATCAAAATTATTGAATCTTTTCTCTTCTCCTATAACTTTTTCTTGCCCTTTTTTAATTTAGGTTGAAGAAATTCAGCTTTATGATTTTAGTCGGATTGAAGTTGAAGAAGGTTTTTAATATTTAGACATCATACTCCATTGTCAGCTGCTTATTGAGTCACAACTCAAAGATGAATCATGATTTTTGCAAATGACTCATGATAGCTAGAAGTTAGCATTTAATTGACACGATTTATATTTACGGGTAGCCAGTCATGACTGTGATATTTAAATTTTTGGTGTTTCCCTATTTTAAGTTCTTAATAATAATACTCAATAAATACAGAATGTAACAATAACAACAAAGAGTAATGCCAACTAGATGACATTAAATGATAGATCATCTAAATGCAAGGTCACATGACCATTTATTTGGATAGATCAAATATGGCAACCATACAGAATATATAGCATTATTCTAATACAAGCCTATGCTAAATTTGGAAGCCCCTTGGTAATAATTATCACTTTAACTCTAATTTAGATGAATTTGATTTTCGTAAATCTTTTCCTTTCCTTATTTATTTATTATTATTTTTTTCATAATAATTCATATGCTATTTCTTTTGCTATATATAACAATAATATAGTGGTTTCTGTTATGTAGTTTGTAGACACAAGAAGAACCCTATAGAATGGCATGAGAATTCAAGCTTAGCCTGTATATAGTGGAATAATAAATGTAATCGATAAGAGTCTATAAAGAGGAAAGAGTGCATGCGCTTTATCGGGGCATATACCACACTTAGTGTTACCAATACGTAACATTATCATATTAATTGCTCACCGTATTCAGCAGGATACATAATATGTTACATCAAGGCCAGGGGCGGACGCAGACATTTTAGACTAGGGGGTCAGTAACGAACTTTTAAAAAAGTGATGAAAAAATTAAAATAAGATATATCTTATTACAATTGCTCTCTACGAGTTCTCATACTTTGATAACGTTCAATAATTACATCATTTTCAATCTTATCAAAAACATCTTTCTCAATATATGCAATCAAACTATCATTCAACCATTGATCTCCAATTCGATTGCGCAGACGATTTTTGACGTAAGTGACCGCAGAAAATGCTCTCTCGACTGTAGCAGTAGCCACGGGAAGAACTAAGGTTAGTGTCACAAGTTTGTAGACTAATGGATACACTTCATGTTTATTCTTCACAACCAACTTCTGTGCAAGATCGCTTATGCCTTGTAATTCTTCAAAATCTTTAGAAGTGCGCATATCAATAATATACGTATCTAGTTGATCATCAAGTTCTAGGATATTTGTTGCGTCAAAATCTATCGGATAATACTGACATAGTCGAATCAATTTGATCTTGTCAAAAGCAGCAAATGAATTATTTGGAGATAAACATGCAACACAAATAAGCAAGTCACTATTTGCTTCAGAAAAACGATCATTCAACTCTTGAAGTTGCATATCAATGACGGCATAAAACATTTCCACACGAAAATGATGCAAATTTGTCACTGTCTCACGCCGTGAACGACCTACAGTTACGAACATATCATCCATATCGGGAACATTGATCTTGTGAGTTTCACAAAACGAACAAATCACTCCCAAAAAAGAATCTCATCCATCATCTCTCATGGTTTGAAGTTGTGTTTTACATATTTGCACCAATTTCATAGCATTGACAATATCTTGATCTTTTCTTTGTAATGCTTTTGACAATTCGTTTGAAATCCCTAAAATCTTTTTCATGAGATATAGATTAAATGCAAATTCAAATCTTAACATCAACTCCAATGAAATGCATGCATCACCTCTTGTTCCGGTACTTGTAGAATCAGTAGCAATCATCTCAATGACTTCGACTATATTTGAAAACATGGTAATCAAGTTAATTAAACAACTATAGTGAGAGCCCCAACGTGTATCCCCAGGACGCTGAAGAGTAATTTCTTGATTGAGATCTCGTCCGCTTGATATTTCACCAATACTGAGTGATTCAAGAATTTTCAATCTTTGATTCTCTCGAATAAGATCACTCCGTTTAGCTGATCCTCCAACAATATTCACCAATCTATGTACTATAGTGAAGAAAGTTTCAATCTTCGGATGTTTCTGTGCCACGGCTACAAGAGCTAATTGAAGTTGATGAGCAAAGCAATGAATATAGTAAGCACTTGAATTTTCTTTTAAAATAAGTGCTTTGAGGCCATTATACTCACCTCGCATGTTACTAGCTCCATCATATCCCTGGTCTCTCAAATTAGATATGCTTAAACTATGCGTTGAGAATAACTAATCAATTGCAGCCTTAAGTGAGGCAGCTGTGGTATTCAAAACATGAATGACACCAATAAAATGTTCCAATATACACCCATTCTTCACATAACGAATGACAACTGACATTTGCTCTTTCATAGAAGTATCTCGAGATTCATCAACTAAAATTGAGAAGAAACTATCACGAATATTTTCGATAATCACATGTAGACATTCAGAAGCAATAGCACTTACAATATCTTTTTGCACTCTTGGTGATGTTAATTTCAAATTTTCAGGTGCATTTGTCAAAGCAACGGCCTTAATCTCAGGATTATGATCACACAACCAATGCAACAGTTCAAGAAAGTTTCCTTGATTGTTTGAATCTTCAGATTCATCATGTCCACGAAATGCCATCCCTTGTCGTAGAAGAAATCGAACACAATCAATTGAAGCATTTAATCGGATTCGATAATTTGTTTGAGCTTGATGCGATTGTTTAACGAGACAAGATCAAATACTTTGTTCTTGATTGTTGAACAATTCATATTTGACCCGAGCTTGATTGTGTGAACTACTTGAAGCCCCAACATGTTTCCTTATATATTCTTTCTTTTTCCAATTTGAAAATCCACCTTTAACAAATGAACCATCATTCAAACCGAAAAGATAACAATAAAAGCAAAAAATTGCATCCTTTGCTATACTGTATTCCAACCAAGTGGGATGCTCATTATACCACGAAACACAAAATCGTCGGTCTATTTTACCTATTCTTGTGGGTGGAAATATATGATTGCGAGGCTGACAAGGACCTCTTTGCATATATGCTGTTCGAATCACATCTCGAATATTAACATCATAATTCTGTATTGGAACTCTCAATCCAGGATCAGAGGGAGGCTGTGCAACATCAACATCCCCAACATGTCCAACATCTCCAATATCCTCAACATTTCCTCTACTATCCCCAATATCTCCAATATCCTCAACATTTCCAACGTCTCCAATATCCCCAAATCCAACATCAACATCAACATCCCCAACATCTTTTTCATCCCTTTTCTTTCGAACATTCCTTTCGCCGATATTTTGTTCATCACAGGAAATCGTAGATGTACGTTTAAAGTATTTTTCCATAACTAAAACAAACCAACCAAAAATGAAAAATCAACAAGATTGGAAATGCCTAAATCAGTTTATACTATTTCCTACCTACCAAAAGTCAGACAAAATTTCAATCTTCCCAAATCAATATTATCAATAATCAATTTACATATAAATAAGTAACAAAGCCCTAAATCAGAAAACTGGAAAAGGGTCAATTTCCTAAATCAAAGCCCTAAATCAGAAATCCCTAAATTACATTTATTGGGCAGGAACATGAATCATAATTGATTAATTGAATTGTAAATAAATCCAAATTCAGAAATAGGAACTAACCACACATGACACATAGAGGCAGGCAGGCAGCAGTTACGGACCTTACGGTTATTGTCACTTATGGAGAAGAATTCAAAGAAAAAATTTGAGTAAGTAATAAGTTTGTAAGTGTAAAGCTTCTAACCTTCAAGTCAGTAGTGATGGGTCGCCGGCACTGGCGTCGGCTGTTGTTGTTGCCGCAGTCGCATGGAGGCGCCGGCAGCGTTCCAGGTGGAGGCAGTCAGGTCAGGCAGAAATAGAGGCGGGGATGGAGCGGTGGCCGGTGGCTGTGGGTGAGCTCTCACTGCTCTGTGCTGTGCTAATGTGCTTCAATGGTGGGAGTCAGCCGTCAGTGCCGTTTGTGCGAGGCAGCGAGAGACGGGAGTTGAGGGAGAGAGATACGGTTGAAGCAGGGAAGGATTTGTTTGAGTTTTGACTATTTTGAATTTTGACCTACTAATTTATTTAATAAAAAAAAGAAAAAAAAAAACCTTAAGACTAGGGGGTCAATTGACCCTACATGCCCCCCCTCCCCGTCCGCCAGTGATCAAGGCAGAGTTGTTCAGAAATGCTGTGCTTGTTGTCTATTTTGGTTAATCTATGTAGTTGTCTAGTCTTCAATGTCATGTTTGATATGGAGGATTAATTAAAACTAGACAATGTTAACAAAGAAAAAGAAGTTAAATTTTCGTTAATCATATTGTATAGTCCTATCCAGTGTTGATCATCTTGTTAAATCTTGCATACTTGGTTTGATTTTAGTTTTTTACCAATATCAAGATGTTCTTTGAGCAGGTCCAACACTCGTTGGCATTCTTCCATATGCTAGATTAAGGTTTTACATTGGTAAGGAACCCAAGAGGCATGTTCCTGAGGAGCACCAACAGTCTATTTTGATGCATCTATCTGGTGGAGCTCTTGGACTGACTTTCACTTATCCTGCAGATGTTGTACGAAGACAGATGCAGGTACTTACATTATCTTAGCACTTGGTAAATTTTAATTTTACTTTGTGAAAATTGTACGATTAGTCCCTAACATATTATCAAGGTGGCAAGTTAGTCCACAACTTTTGGTCTTCAGCGTTTCGTTGTAGTTGCAAAATAAAGCCCTACCACTTGAACATCCAACTCTTTGAGTTAGACATAAGTAAAAATTAGATTTGGGCAGTAACGTAATTGAGCTTTTTTATTAGAATAGAGTTACAGCGATGACCGAACAATTGAGATTGTGAGAGTTGAGATTATTTTGTCATTTGCGATGTTTAATTTGAAAATTCTTTGGAAATTGTTATTCATCATATATGTGAGATTTGTTGGAATTCTTTGAGAATTGTTATTTATCATATAAATGAGATATGTGAATCTATAACAATGATTGCTTGTATGTGTTCGTGTAGTATATATAATTTTTTAATAAGTTTGATCGTGCCCCACTAATTTCAAATGTTTGCATCCGCCACTGAGCACTAGAGAACAGATTTCATCATTTCTGTAATTTTTAAAATTCTTGTTTTATCTTTTTGATATTCGGACTGGTCATGTGAACCATTAATTTTATTTTTTGAAGTAATACCATTTTCAGGTTTGATATCTACAATCTTCACTGCAAATCAATGACAAATCCAGAAGTGCCTTTGAGAGGCTCATTACCATGTTCGAAATGTTGGTTTGAATTGGAGCTCTTTAAGTTCCTCTTTGCTAATTGTGGTCCATGATTTCATTTCTAGATTGTTTCCTCGGTTGCAATTGGTTTTACAGTGTATGACATGATGACAAAAATCAATAGCAATTTCTACTGCCTAAATACCCCTTTTGATGTAGTACGTATATGCCTAGGGCCGGTCCTGGGCACAGGCTAATGAGGCCTGTGCCTCATGCCCAAAACCACGAAAGGCCTATTTTGGCCCAAAGTTTTTTGTTTTTTTTTTTGTTTTTTTTAAAGTAGGAAAAGGAAAAGGAAAATCGTTTTTTCATTAATTGTGAGATGATTGAGATATTTGTTTGTTGTTTTAATTTTAAGTTTTAAGTTAACAATATGTTGCATAATATATTGTTGAATTTTGTATTTACGTTGATTTTGAGAGCCTAATTTTTGAATTTCGCCTCGAGCCCCAACAATCACAGGACTAACCCTGTATATGCCTTGGTTGATCCCAATCCTGAGTTGGGTCGGGTAGAGATCAATGAACATTGATCTTAAATACCTATTGAACTGCGAAGGAGTAATAAGATAAGAAATGCGATAGATGCCTTCTTTATAAAGAATCATTGCTCAATGTTTCTCTTAGCATAAAATCCAACCTATTTTGACACGACTATCCATGTAATGTATGTAATGTTACTATCTATTGACATTAATACATTCCAAAACAGCAATTGTCTGTCAAACCTCGAAAAGCACAAATGAATATATTATTCTAATTTGAATTTTCTGTTTCAAATTATTTCCTAATTAAAATTCTAATCAATAAGATTCACGTGTTCTTTTCTAGAAACACTCTATGCAATAGGTTGGCTCCACATGGGATCCAATGTAGGATAAAGCATAGATCCTCGCTGCACTGACTTTTTAGATATTTTGCTGCTTATATTTGGGTTTTCATAAATGGGTCGTGCATTTTTAGGATCCAATTAGAATGGACCTGGTGCATTCTCGTAATTTATCACGAAAACCATGAGCAATTACTCACGATACTCAAGCGGGAATAAAGCCATCGTGTCCATTAATGTCCCGTTTGTTTCCCATTCTTTGTCACTAAAAATGAAAAATATGACCGTTATTCATCATATTAAACCACCATATTTGACTTCCTCTTTTTCGTGTGGGTCTCGTAACGGCTATATTTTTCATTCGCATTCTTATAAGAATAAGAATCAAACGAGATCTAAATTTCGAATTTGAAATATTGAAACCCAAAACAGTAATTGGAGCAACACACAATGCAGTGCAAATTCCACTTTTTTACTAGTTAGCTGTTTAATTTGAAATCTCTCTTTTTTGTCTGATTTAAAACTCATCTCATCTGACCAAAAAACTCTTGTTAAGTTCTTATTTGATCCGTTAGCACTTAAAAAGGTCGAAATATGTATGATTTTATCATTTTTAAGCATAAACGACTGTTTTTCAACTCTTAAAAGCTCTCTCTTGCCAGTTCCATAACGGCAATTCCCTTGTTGTCAGAATATTTTCCAAATGCCATGGCAACATCTGTTTGGTCTGTTTATCATTTTTTTTTGTTTGTCATTGTCCAATAGAAAAACGCCAAGTGTGTTATGTAGAAATTCTGATAGTCAAAACTGGTTTCATTAATAAGCCCTTTTTTATATAATTCTTTACATTTTTTCACGTGAACCCCACCACCTTGTTTGATTTTTTCTGACACCTTTTCACATCACCGCTCAAATTATACCAACCACTAACCCGCAAATATCAAGTACAATATAAAGCAAAATGAACATTTAGCATTTTGCTATTATTTTTACTTTCGACCATGCTACATCTGGCATAATTCTTTTACTTTGAAGTCATTTCTTTGCAGTCAATATCTTGTTTATTCTCTAAAATGGAGTTTATTCTTCAAAATTAAGAATGGGGATCTCTTATCTCAAATGGGTGCTTCAGGAAAATGGGTTAAAGATTTGATAGGACTCAGAAAACCTGATACAGACAACCATGTAAGGCTCAAAAACTGTATCATTTGTTGTTTTCTGTTACATTTTTTCTTAAGTTTTTATTCTTAATTTCATGTTTATTGCACATTAATGGTGAACTTTGAGATCTTTATTACAGAAATCAGCTAAAGATAGAAGCTTTTTTTTTTCTAGGGAGAAAGCGATATGAAAGAACAAGAAATGGAAGCTATGGAGGAGTTCATCAGGTGATAAAAGGTGGGTCCTCATTTAGAGGTATCAAAAGAAATGGTGGATTATATGGCTCTTCTGATTCTTCATCAGTGGACAATGGTGCCTTCAATGCTGCTGTTGCTACTGTTGTAACTTTTTAAGGGCTCCTCCCAAAGATTTCAGGGTTGTGAGGCAAGAGTGGGCTGCCATTTGGATCCAAACAGCATTTCGTGGATTTTTGGCAAGTCTGTTTAAGGATTTTCCATTTCTCTCTTTTGATTTTCGGTTGTCGAGAAATAAGGTCAAGATAAGTCGCTGTTTAAATTTTTGATCTGTTTGTGCATGTTTTATACACGATATTGGATACGACTGTATAATAAACAGGATTTTAGTTCGTTTTTCTACCTTAACATCAATGGGGCATTAATGTTTGTGTTTTTCTGGTGGACAGAGTTTGCTTGATTTCTTGTTTCTAAGGAAGAGTTTTATAGCTTGTCCGATTTTGTGTGTGTGTATTTGTTAGGATCTTCCTTAAGCTGCTCAAAGTGATTTTCGGGCTCAGTTAACCATTAAACATCGAATGCAACACCAAAACCGAAGTCACCAACCCACCGGCGCCTCCTCTCCTATGGTTGCTTTCCTCTCTTGCTTTGTTGATTCAATCCACACACTTAGGATGGATACCACACAGGTAAGAGTCACAAAGGCTCAAGCAATTGGCATGGAGAAGAAATCACGAAGAAGAAGAAGGCAGAAGAACATGGCAGTCTCTCTTGGAGCTCACGGGTTCAATGGACGGCTTCAACTAATGGACGAGTTCGACTAGGGAGAAAAACACCAATATATATATTAAGTCAAGTGGCCAACATAAGGTAAGTAAGGATATGGTAAGTAGACTCGACTAGGGTTAACTTCCAATGGAAAGAATCAACAAGCCACAAAGAGTATTAGCCGTCCAATAGGTAAAGCAACGTTTGGTCGGTTCATCCATTATTCAATGTTGAATTATCGTTCAGTCATTCATGTCGACTGATAAAATTGGTTCTCATCATCGCCCGGGAGGTCGTTTGACAACATAACAACCTCTACTTTGGTGTCAAAGGACCTGCAAAGAAAAACGTTTTTCCATTAGTGACACCTCTAACAGAAAAATCGATAAAATTGAAATCATTTAGGAAGTTGATTTCCTACCATCCCTATCTCTTGCATAGTCAGCATCTACAAAACCCTTTAATTTCACGCCTTCTTTATTAGCACTAAATTTTAGACCTACGTCACTTGTACCCTTCAAATATCTTAAAAGCCACTTTAATGCTTCCCAATGTTCAGGACCTGGATTAGACATGTACCTACTGAGAGTACTAATAGCGAATCCTAAGTCCGGTCTAGTGCAAACCATCAAATACATTATGGAACCAATCACATTTGAGTATAGAATTTTACTCATGTATTCCACTTCACGTTCATTGCAGGGAGCTTGTTCTTTTGATAGAACAAAATGGTTTGCAAGAGGCAACGTGACAGGTTTGCAGTCACTCATATTAAACTTTTTCAATACTTTTGATATGTATGGAGGCTGATGCAAGAATACGATGGAATTTGACCTATTTCGTTCTATTTCCATGCCTAGAATCCTTTTAGCCTTTCCTAGGTCTTTCATGTCAAATTCTCCACTAAGATCTGCTTTTATATTGTTTATCCACTTAGAATATGATCCAACTAAAAGCATGTCGTCCACATAGAGCAACAAGAACAAATAATTGTTATCAGTCTCGTTGTGTTGAAAGTATAGGCAGTGATCGAATTTACTTCTTTGAAATCCTATAGTGAGTACAAAGGAATCAAACCTCTTGTACCACTGTCTAGGTGATTGCTTTAGACCATATAGGGATCTTTTCAAAAAACACACATAATCAGGTTTTAACTTGTCTTTAAAACCTTTTGGTTGATTTATAAAGATTTGTTCATCAAGCTCTCCATGTAAAAAAGCGGTTTTTACATCGAGTTGTTCAAGTTCCCAGTCAAAGAGCGCAACCAATGCGAGCATGACCCTAATAGTAGTGTACTTGACAACTGGTGAGAAAATCTCGTTATAATCAACACCTTCTTTCTGTGTGTAACCCTTTGCTACTAACCTAGCCTTAAACCTTAAGGGTTCTGAACTACTAGTACCTTCTTTAACCTTAAAGACTCACTTGCAATCAATGATTGATTTATTCTTAGGTCTCGGTACTAACTCCCAAGTTTGATTCTTTTTTAGAGAACTCATATCTTCTTTCATAGCCTCAAGCCACTCCTTAGATTGACCACTATTCATAGCCTCTTCAAACGTTTCTGGCTCCCTATCAACTAGTTCTTCGTAACTAGCGTATGCAAAATCCAATTCAGATTCATATCCGAACCTCCTAGGTTCTCTCGTTTGTCTTCTCTCTCTATCTCTAGCTAAGTTATAGTTAGCTAATGGATTTTCTTCCTCAGGATGCT